GCCAGAGTCAAATCTTGTATCGCACCAGCGGCATCCCAGACTGTGGTCTGTAAAAAGCATGGCATTCCTGCTAGAAGAAGATGTCATTCCATATTTTGTATGTTCTTTTTCCTGAGAAGTCTCAGCCTAAGCAAATGGAAGCCTGCAGGCACTCAAATCTCAGTAGAGTGACCTGTTTAGTAATGATCCTTTTTCTGCTGCATAAAAAATTGATAGAAATCAAGCCAAATACTACTTCAAACCATACATCAGACAGGACCTGCAGAACAAAGAGAGTGGAGGTAATGTTCTAACCAGAGAATAAAGTCACACATGTGCAGCATGTTTGTGCTATGGGAAGCCTTGGTGTTAGTTTCACTTCCACACACATTCTCCTCACTGATGCTATCTATTAATAAATTTTCCCAGTTGACAGTTACACCTCAAAAAAGCTGCTGTCTCGTTAATACCTGTATTACAAGCTCTCAAACAAGTCTGACATACAGGTCAGAGAGAAGGAAGAGAGTTTAGATCCTCTTTGTTTAAAAGTTTCAGATAATTTTCAGTATGCCTCAACTGGTGCTCTTTGAAAGTAACTGAGAGAAGTTTTGGGAATAGAGATTTGCAGGAAGTGTTTGGAGGAGACTGACTCTGCACTGAGCAGCTGCTCTTCAATCATCTCCAGCACACAGGTGAGTAAGCATACACCTTTAGAGAATCCAAATTCATCAATGCAGATTCCAAGGTTAAATATGATTGAGTTGCAGAAAGATCCCATTAGTGTTTATTTTCTTTCTGTTGTAGATTCTTTCCTGACCCACATAGTTATTTTGTGTGCTACACTTATCCTGGCAGCAAAGGTCACTTCAGAAATTTTGACACCATATTTTTCCGCCCACTCAGTAGTGCTCTCATGAGAATTTGTGAGGTTGTGTTGTAAAATGGTACCGAGAAGTTACCAGGGCTAAAAATAAACCTTTCAGCCAATCCCTTTTTTTGTGTGCTAGTTCATTTTATCTCTGACAGTAGATGGTTTGGACTAGAACCAAAGTATCTCTTAGAGTAAATACAAGCTGCTATCCGCACTATGGAAAAACTTCACCTAGTTTCTAGATAAATTATTCTGCATGTTGGAGCTGCCAGCTGCACAACTTGACACTAAATTCAGAAATCCAGTTATTTAAATACAAAATAAAATACTTTTTTCCTTTGGATTTACACATGCATGTGTATGTAAATTTTTAGTGCAATCTATGTCTTCAATCAGTATTACCAAAGCATGAATGTGAGCAGAATTATTTACATAATAAAATAATATCCCTAACTATAAATTATTTGCTTTAATAAATCCTTTTATTAATTTGAATTTAAAGGTAATTTTTGTGTCCTTACTAGTTCTAAAAGATGATAAGTCAGCTGGATGCCATCAGAAATGGGGCTAGCCTGCAGCACTTTGTGACATTTATCTTTGCTATCTTCTTCCTTTTAATTTTACCTGGCAATCTAAATATCACTGAAACTTTATCTGTAAGGTAGATACAGAGAAGTAGATGAGCTAGTGCACTGTGCTTTTGTTGCTGATAACTGGAAGGAACAGTGCCTTAGGTTCTACATGTGACTGTTTCATCATTACAAAATGTTGTTCAGTTGTTTCTGGGCACCTGCCCAGTGCTACTAAAACCTGCTATTAGTTCTAGGAAATTAGTGGCTGACAGATTCTTAATCAAGTTTTTAATATAACTGATTTATATTCTCAGCATGTTCTATTTGATTTATTTTTTCTCTTTTTTTTTCCTGTCATTGCAATTTTGACATTATCCAACTGAACATATTTTTGGGACAAGTTTTTCTGGCCTAGTAACTACGTTTGAAACATGGAATAAAATTGATAAGTTAAGAAACAAATGCAATATTTTGTCTTCTAGGGAATGTCTCTGACCAGGCCATATCAGTGTTTCTGGGTTGGAGCAAAAATCAGTGCTGGAGAATATTAAGCAGCATACAGTTACCCACATTTGCAGAAATTTTTTTAATAATTGATAGCAAGTAAGCTTTACCTTGATGATGTGAGCTTAGGTCATTTTCTTTTAACCCATGTTTATAATCTTCCTGGAATGAGCTTTAGTTAATGTACATGGCACTGTTTAATTAATTAATTAATGCAGCTGCATCCATAGAGGTGATGGTTGATGCAGTGCATGCACAGTGAAAGGTCCCCACTGGTGCTGCAGGATGCTGGGGCCACTTTGAGTGTGATCATGGAACTCAGCCTTCCTCTGCTGCTCCTGCCAGAAGAGTTCTGCTGCTGTTAAGGCAAAAGTACAAAAGTATTTCTCACAGGAGGGAAGAATTCAGGCAACATTTCAGCCAGGAGGCAATGAAATGTATGCTAAAGAAAGACAGGAGCAATACTTGACTTTGGTGTAACCCATGTGCAGTCGTTGTCTCTCACTCTGGATAAGATTCATCTGGTTGGCTGGAAGAGGCTGCTGACAGCAGCTGAAAAAACCTCACCTTTGTAAAGTGCTTTTAAATGAAGGATTTTAGGACAATGGCAAATGCTGTCATGAAACTCCATATGGAAAACCAGTTCTTCTTTATGTCATACCAGAAGAGAGACTAATCTAGGCTGAACAGCAACCAGTTAAAACACAGTTTAAATGTTAAAGAAGAAATTATTTGATTTCCAGTAGGATGTCTGAGTTCTGCAACAGCAGTTTTGCAGAGTGTAGAGAAAAATTTGGCTGCATTTAGATTTTGTCATCGTCACCACATGAGGGGAGAGGAAGTTAAGCTGCAAATTTGACACACTTTCATTTGGTGTTTTGTTGATCTTTAATGAAGGTAGCCTGATGCAAATGCTAATAATTCTGCATGATGATCATAATTTCAATGAAACTTCTTTTAACAGTGTATTTTGGCTGCTTAGGTAAGTGTTGGGGGTTTTTTTTTGTTGTAGTTGTTTTGTTTTTAGGTAATTGTGTGTAAATCTTGAGCTGGATTTAAAAAAACAAACTTATGGTATACCCACCTCAAATACACATGTGAGACAAGGAGAATATTTACTGTTTTTTCATAATGCTGAAAGCAAGATTAAATAGCATGAGAAATCAAAAAGCATTTTCACAAAGAAATTGTTTCAGGGAAAGCATTGAGGAATAAATTGAACACTTCAACACCCAAAATGATGTTAGGTTAAGTTTTAGGACTTCTGACATTAATATTTTTTATGAAAAATGCTGAATGTAGAATTATAAAATCTTAAGGATAATTTATTCTAGATCACATAGGTACTGAAGTACAAAGCAAAAAGAATTCATGATTCTTATTCAATACAAATCACAGTGGATAATGCTGAAGGTATTCCATATGAGTTTAAAAATTAGCAAAAAAAAAAATTTCAGTAATATTTTTCAGAAAAACAGTAAAGATGGAAATATAGCACAGTCAATGGCACAACTGTTTTAAACAACAAATCAAATTAACAAAAAACCTGAAATTGGTGATTATTTCTTTAACTTGAACAACTTAGAAGCTGTTATAGCTGTTCTATGAGGTTGTCATTTATACACTGCATCAATTATTTCCCTTATTTTTTTCTACTGCTTATATTATCCCTATACTGTCCATATTATTTTCTACAAGTTTTTAAGTGTTGCATTGTAAAGATGGAGGTGCCTGACTCCTTTACTTGTGATGAATGTGTGGATTTTTCTATTGAAAAAACAGAAAAATTTATTTGCATATTTTGATAAAACTGATCAGATGCCATTTTAGTGTGAGATATGAAAAAAATTGTCTAATTAGTATGTCTTGCTGTGAAATATGCCTGAGTGATAAACAGAATAACATTTAGAAGAAAATCATGCTATTTACTCTTATTATTAGTCCTTCCCTTTAATGTTGTAAAGGATAGAAAAAAGGAATTGCAATTCTTCATATAGCATATGAAAATAATTGTCTCAGCAGTCATGGAGATAGATTTTATAGGATTAGCAATTTTGTAATGAGCATCAATGCCATTAGAATGTAAAAAGAGTTATCTGATACCCACATAGTGGATTCCCTCTAGAAGAAAATACTTTGTATATATATTGCACAATGTCTCATGTATCACTCACTTTGCATGCTGGCAGTGGAAGAAAAATGTTCTGAAAGCAAGAAGAAACAAAAACTTTGATTTCTACTGATACTGTCCAAGTCAGTCTTTTCTTAAAAGCCAGACAAGAGACCCGATGAAAGAACAGGGTAACAGAACATTTAACCTCTTATTAAATGAAGGAGGTGAATTTGATGTTGTAAACTGCTTGTCAGCAAGTACTTCATAGAAGAAGTTGAAACCAAATGAAAAAGCTCACCTCTAAAATGCTGTACACTTGTCATTCATTAGAAATAGTGCTGGACAAGAACTCCTACATGGGGACAAAATTTGCAGTGTCTTTTTCTTCAACCTTGATGAGCTTTTCATTATTGAGTAATGAATCATTCTGAATTACTTCTTTTGTTCCTTCTTTATGGCAGAGAGTGTTTAATATACTTCAGACTCAATCACTTTTTATAAAGCTTTTTCTTGAAAATATAAATATGTTTACCAGCAAGCATGCAGAAAATATTTGTTTATTGCACACAAACAATGTTTGAGGACTTTAACACATCAGATTAAAAGTTTACTTTAGCCAGAAAACAATTGCCAGCATTAAAGGGAAAAGCGAGGAGTAAGCTTGAAAATTAATGTTGTAATGATTTTGCAGTATTAATTGTTATTTTAAATGCTTATTTTAATATTTAAACTCTTCTTTAATGTTAGATTATTTATTTTAAAAACAGATTTCATTATACTTCTTTGTTGTTTTACCTTTTAAATCTATGTGTATTTCTCCATAGCTACAGGTTCCAATAATTTAAGAGTCATCCAAACACCAACAAATATAAATCTGTCAGTTGGAGACAACACTGAAATCACTTGTATTTGGGAAAAAACTATTGAGAGGTGTAGAGCACACTGGTATTTTGTTAATAAAATGAACATCAGTAAAAATATATCATCAAAACTTCTCTATTCATCCAACACCACCCGTGAAAACAAGGATGTGCTAGTCATCAAATCCGCCAATGTAAATGACACTGGATTTTACTACTGTGAGATAATTATTGAAATACCTTGCTTTAAGAAACTACATGGAAATGGGACAACAGTGATTGTTGAAGAGAAAGGTAGGCTATATGGATTTGTGTCTGTAAAATTGTTGTAGCTAACTGTTTTATATGTGCTGTGTCTCCCTGTTTTTTTACCAGTCATATTCTAATTTCTACAGGGGAGCAATTTATGATCCCAATTCTAAGTTAAGCATTGAAAATCATGAATGCAATTAGTATTCGCACACAATTAAAATTTTCAGCAATAGGAATGACATCTGTTTAACCTTAAATTATTAATATAATGTAAGATATCCAGAAGATAATTTACTTCCTACAGCTAACTGAAGACATTTTGCACCAGTTCTGGAAGATGCTGATCTTCAGCTCTTTTTATACCTCTCAAATGCAGACAAAGACTGGGGGACTAGCTATGGTTAGACCTTTAGCATTATCAATCATCACTCACCTGCTGACTGGTCCAGTCACAGGAAGCCTTTCCAATCATGCAGTACACTCCAGTTTTGTACAGTATTTTATACTGTGTGTCAGCTGGTTCAAAGGGAAGCACAAAAATTATCAAAGATTTAAAAAATATCAGTGCCAGATAATCAATGAAGTAGTGTTCAAAATGGTTAGAAGTGAATGTAGATTATTTTAACTCTTTAACAGTATATTAATGTCCTAAAATGAGTTAGGGAATCTGATGTCTTATGTGGTCAAGTACAAGCAGAAAACTTGTAGTGGATGCTGGGGGAGGGAGGATGTCAATCTGCAGGAGCCGTAGGAGGTGCTGACATTACTGTCCATCAGGATGCATCCCTTAGGAACAGAAAAGTGACCTTGCACCTGATTCACTCTTGAAATAATTTTTAATTTTACCTGCCTTTTCTATTTTATCTTTAAACAGTACGTCACTTTATTTAATATTTATAATTGCAGAAGCTCACTCACTGGAAAGGAGAGGTTTGGAAGCATGGGCCATCCTTCCTTTTTTGGTGGCAGTGGGAAGCGTGTATCTTCGCTACAAGAAGAAACAGCTCTCCCCCCTATCTGGTGAGTTACTGTATTTCCATTAGCACACAGAAGTCATGGGTTTGCTTTGAGATGGCTGGAGAGGTGCACTTAAGAGGTATTTCAGTGTGTAACTTTGCTCACCTGGTCCTGGTCTGCTGAGGCATCTCGAGCTGACAGGAGGGATCAGAGGCACAGCTCATAGTTCAGGTGAGTGTTCTTGCAGCGTCCATCCTTCTAAGGAGAGTCATCACTTAAACTGAAGATCTTGACCTGGCTAGGGTATTCAAGGATATCAGTTCTGATAGTTTCTTGCTAATTTCTGACTGAAAAACTGAGGAGCCAGAACTTAGCTCTGCCACATAGTCTCTTACTCCTGGTAGAGACAACTGGAACCGACATGTGAAAGACTCAGCCTTGAACACAGAGTTCTGTTTTTTCAAGCTGTGATTTCTTTTTAGTTAACTATTAATTTGGGTTGGTAGGGGGTTTTGGTGGAAAGTTTTGTTTGTTCATTTGGGTTTTTTGTGTTGTTTGGTTTAGGTTTTTTTTTTTCAAAATCTAGAACTTTAAGGGTGGAAGAAATCATAGGAAAATAATGGTGAATGACAAGGTGCAGGACAAATATAAATGTAGGGAAGCTGTGAGCAGAGGGCTCAGATCAGCGAGATAATCTAAGGCAGCCTCTTAAGTAACCTTTGGGGTTGTTTTCAGCTTATTTTTTTTACAGCCTGATTACCACTCTAGTGCCTGTCATCAAGCCTAGTAGTACAAGAGCTCTGCACTGTCCATTTTGGAGCTTACAGAGCTCTGGTAGAGTGTAGCATGGACAGCAAGCAAGCACTGACTGGAGCTTGGGTTTTATCAGGTGCTGCACAGATTCCTGTGCTGACAGAAAGGCAAGAGCAGGAGCAGAGACTTGAGGTGGAAGAGCTTCATAGGAGACATGAATCCTCCGGGGAAGCAGCTGAGGAAAACTCATCATCTAATTCTGCTGAATGGGTAAGAGGTTTATAAAAAGACTCTTGCTATGAGAGGGTTTTCAAAATGAGGCACTGGGGAGTGGATGGAACAGAAAGCACACAACAACCTGCTGTTCCTAGGACAGCATCTTCCTACACATGATAAAGATTTAAAGAAAAAAAAAAAAACAAAAAACACACTCAGAAGTAAGAAGAGGGATATTTATGTAGTAGGAAAGTATTGAAATCTGTTATTATAGTTACTAACACTCTAAGATTATCTGGAGAATAGGGCAGCAAAAAGTGCAGAATATCAATATAGAGACTGAAAGAAAGAAATGTAGGAGAAGTAAAAGGTAGCAAGAAAGTCCTTTTATGTGTAATTGTGTACCAAGCTCAAGGGGCTTGAACCAGCTTCAGCTCATAGGGTCATTAGAGCAGGCAGCACTTGCTGAGAGCAGGTAGCAGATTTCTGGCAAGCTGCTTTTCCCATGAAATTATTCATCTTTTAATTACATTGAAACATAAATTAGGCAAGGGAAAAAAAAAAAAAAAAAAGCCCTAATTTAACCCTTGCATAGACAAGCACAGTTTTCATTGCAATCAGCTAGACAGGCTTGGGAAAGTCACAGAAGAGATGAAAAATGTTCTAGCCTGTGGTCACAACTGCAGTTACCAGGCTTACAGATTCCTAGGTTCTCCTGTAAGAGAACCTGGCTGCAGCCATGATTTGGTCACAATGGTACTGTGATCATGGCAAGAGAAAATATCAGCATGCAGGTAGTAAAACACTAATATCTATCTTTTATTGAGCAGTAGTCATTGCTCTAAGAAAAAGAAAATACTTGGGAAAATTCATTCTCTGTAAGTAGGGTGCCCCTGAAGCTGAGAGACTTGCTTTAACTGTCATACTAGAAAATTACAAGAATACAAGTCACAATGTGGTCTGGTCATAGTAATAAATTATTCTAATTACTAGCTATGAAGGGATTACTCTTCTGCTTGTTAATATTTAATGCAGATGTAGGAAAACGAGGTTGAGAATGAGAAAACAATCATCCTAGGGGGTGCTGAGTGAAAAGTTCATTAGTAGCCAGTTGCTGCTCAGGATTTGTGTGGATAAGACTACTCTAGAGGATGTGTGAATGCAATTATGATCTTTTGCAGCTGCTTTGCAATTTAGCAACTACCAACTACAGTGATGTGTCATGACATAGGTTCAGCATCTCCCTTCCTGAAAGAGACCTTTTTGCTATTTTAGTGAAAGTAGAAAGAGTGGTTTCATAGTGACATATTTTTAAATGTTCAAGCATAATTGGATGTTACAAATCATTTAAGAGATCTGGTAGGTTAGTAAAACTAGTACATAAAATGTGTATGGATGCCATATTTCAAACAAATTAAGCCAGTATTAATAAGCAAATATTATGGTATCTCTGGAACTGCACTTACTGCCTTTCAATTGTATTGCAGAATGTAATCACCTTAATTTAATTTTTTTTTCTGATTGTGAGAAAGTCTCTACTTACTTGAGAAAAACTAGTCTCACAGTGGTTTTTAACATAACTTACACTTTTCTTTTTAAATTTGGAAATTTGGTGAATATTCTGGAAATCATTTCTACAACAGTGAAATGAAGGTTCTATCTGCCTCTGCAAGACTTGAGTCTCATGCTTTTTTTTATAATTCTTGGTGTTTAAAAGGCAATCCTGTAACACAGAAATTAAATCAGGCCATGGATTATTATTCTCACTTGCATTATATGTCACAGCAACACTATTAGGTCAGGTGACAACACATAGGTGCAAGTACCCAAGGTAACTGAACCTGGGAGTGAACATCCTCATGGCAAAGCTGGCTCCTGTAGCTGTGCTTTCAGTATTAGCACTTGTCTCTGTCTCTGGAGAATCTACCCATGTTTTCTCAGCTGAGATGCTCAGGGAGTGTTTTCCAGACACTTCTGCCAGCTGCAAGGGAATTTGGCCTTTGAAGGAATTCCCAGTGAAGGTGATGACTTTTTCATCAAATTCTGTAGGTTCCAGGCAAAAACTAAGCACTTTTGTAGCATTAATGCAAACTTCCAGCTCATGGTAGCATGCATGATGCTCACTCTTGACTGCAATTCTTGCACAGAATTGTGATCCAGCTTGTTTGGCCATCCCTAGCATGCCTCCTGTTTGACATTTGCCTGGCAGATGCCTCTCTGTGCTGAACATGGCTCATCAGAACACAGACAGCAAACCCCCACAGCAGCGTGTAAGTGTGAAGACAGAAAGCTGCTTCATTACTTCCACCCATTTATTCCTCAGCTTGAGATTTTGATTTTATGTGTCTGTGGGAATAAGTCTTTGTAGGACTTACCTATGTATGTTTAGGAATAGAATGACTTTTGCATTGTCCAGAAGTGCATCTGAATACCACAGCAGTGTTCTAGTTTACTGCCTCAAAAGAGCATCCATCCAGAGGGAAGAGTCTGATGAAGTTTTTTGGAAATATCAAAGTTAAAAGATTAAGGGGATAAAAATGTTTTCCATTTCAGATTTCATAGAATCTGAGCTACACTGAAACTTGATATCTTTAGTATTCTAAAAAAGTATTTTGTGCCTGCTGCCTAATTAACTAAGAGAATTGAATCTGAACATAGGAAGGCTTTGCCTTTCAGCATTACTACTGAGACATTCTTTTCCTCTGTAATTGTAACTTCGTGGCTTGTGTTCCTTTGTGTTTCCTGGGGTTGTGCTGTGTCATGGGTAAAAGTTCATTTTACATCTACTTTATGAGTAAAAATCTTTCCTGGCATTTTCTTTGCTTTTTAAGGCTGTGTCTATGCTTTATGAATCACTTGAAATTTTTTGCAATGAAGCAAGAGGAAAAGATGACAAATCCACTGTGACTATTGTATCTAATGGAGAAGATGAGCAAATCCCACAAACTAGGGCAGCTGAAAAGTCTAGAATGAGACAAGGATCTGCCATCTAGATCTGCCAAGGTACATCTGCCATCTACCTTGACATTCAGAACTATACAAAATATGGCTAAATAACTATGAAACTGAAAAATATGATAATTTGCTGCTGCAAGATGGATTACATGTTTCCTGTCAAAAGCTTGTCAGTGGGACAATATGCAAGAAAAAAGTTGATTCTCAGCAGTTTTTGAATGTTTTGTCACTAACAAAACACTCTAAGGAGTCTCTGAATTTGAAGGATGTGTAATTTAGAAGACTGTCTTCAGCTCTTCCTCTGGTGTCCAGAAATACTGTGTTTACCATACTTTGAAAAAAACTTCTGAACTGAGCAACATTCTCCAACACAAGCATTTCTTCAGGAAGCCCATGTATGAACAGGAGATGGTAGAGAAAACAATTTATGGAGTCTGAGCTCTGAAACTGTCATCAGTTCTGAACACATTACAGAAAGAGGTATGCCAGAAAGGATTATATTCCTGTGGAAAGGGACTATTAGTGTTAATTCATTCACAAACTAGGAAAAGTCTTCCAGAGAAAGAAGTCTTCTACACACAATGAAATACTAGATTCAAATGAAGCTATATATATATATATATATATATATATATATATATATACAGAGAATCTATAATTATTATCTAACTGGTTGAGGAAGGCTGCTTGGAAGAGATAGGGGTGATAATGCTTGTTCCACTTTTGCCAGCTTTAAAACCTTTTTTTAATTCACTGAAGAGAAACCAAAGTTGAAAAAATGAAGGAGAACCTGGCTTCCAAGGTAAGAACACAGGGGAAAAGTTTTGACAGCAAAGTTCATGGCAGTTGTCCAAGGGCTGCTGAATGCCAAGAGTGGATATCTTGAAATGTGAATATGTTTATGTGCCAGGATTATGTCATCTTCTGTTAATGTTATTTTCAGAGCTTAGCTGGAGGTTAGAACATCTTGCCATCAGTGTGGGTAGAAACAACTTCACCGGAGATTTTTGTCCAGCTTGTACCTGGGCAGTGCAATAGACACAAACCAACTTTCCCAGAGCCCTTCAAAACTGCTTGTGTAGTCTAAATGCATGACTGGCTTCTTACTAAATACTGTTAATGAAATATTTTTGGCATATAGCACAACTCGTGGTGTGGCTCTGTCTGTGCTGTATTGACTGCAGCTCACAAAGCTACCTCTCAAATTACTGTAACTCAGCTGTGTTTCACTCTGTGCTGTGGATCCTCTTTCTTGGGTTGTTCTGTAACCTGTCCTGAATTCCCTACTGCAATAAATATGCTGCTGTCTGAACTAGACTGTAAGCAGTGTTCTGTGATTATGTCTTGTATGAGAGAGACTGTTATAATACATCTCCATGGTATTTATGTGTAAATTGAATAAAGCAAAAGAATGTTCTTTTTTTTCTTCTTAAAGTTCAAATATTTTAAAATCCTAGTGTGATTTTTCCTGAAACTCACTATTACAGATCCATTTCCTTTACTGCATGGTGAAACTCTGTCATGTGCCATATTCCTTTAAGGATCAGAGATGGGGATGCTCTGCATTCCTGCAAACCCTGTAACTCCGTTTGCTACACAAGAAAATCATAATCTGCAAAATGCTGACCTTCAGCCCAAGTCCCTGTTCAAGGAAGCTCTCAGTTATGCACCAAAGCTGTAAGTGGGTCCAGTAAATTTCAGTTTTTCTAGATTCTGTTGCTAATTCTCTGTTTTATCACAATGATTCAGAAAAATGTTATAGAAAGCCACAGCTTAATAGTCTCCAAATCCTATTTTCATTACATTTTGATTAAATGTGGCTCCTAACAGCAAAAAATGCTGCCTCCTTAACTGCTGCTCATATATTGTATGTTAACATGGTCGTTTCCAACATCTGTAGAAGCCTACACCCAATTTATCATGACCTATTTTTATCTGTGGCTGACAGTGGTGGCTATGAGCCAGCAGAGTATTTTTAGAGCTCCAGCTTTTGACACCTCTGCCTGAAATATATTAACTTCTCTGCTTCTTGGGAAGCCACTTGGGAAGCAATAAATCCTCCTGTGTTTTACTTCTTGGCCGTTTTGTAAGCTTTAAAACACAAGACTGCTCTGTAATTAACCGTAGGTCACGTTCTAGCATGCATGATCTCAGTTTCAACTGTCTGTTTAGCTGATGAGTATATAATGAAGGCATCTGTCTAATAATAGAAGAGAGTCCTGGGCCTTTGCTTTCAGCCATTTTATTGGTTATTCCCTTTTGAGCAAGCTGCTGAAAAATGATGGTTCCATTCCATTTAATTTGATGTCCAAAGTCCTGTGTTGGGCACAGGCTGAAACATGCTGATTTAGGAGCAAGTCTGACACAATGAATTCAAAAGCTTTGCTGTGTGTTCTATGCTTTTAATGTCTCACCAATGTACTTGTTTTAGTCACAGTCCTACAAATGAGGCTCCCTCTCTCTCTGTCACGCTCCTGACCCTGGTTAGGAGAGATAGGACAGAGCTCTTCCCAATCCATTGCAAAACCATGCAAGGAGTCACATCTTATTTACTCTTCCTAGCACTTAGGTAGCTACTCTTAGTGACTTGAGTACGATCCAGCTTGACCTGCACATTTTCTTCCAAGCCCTGGACTGGGGTTCCTTGTTCTTGTTGCATCCATGGAAGGGGGTGATGGAGCAGGCATTCCCAGCCCCATCACACCAAGGACCCTCAGTGGCAGGCAGGATGATGAGGTGTCCCAATGAACGTATTTGCAGAGCAGCCCAGTTTGTGACTGATGTTCTGTGCCTGTGGGTTAACCCTGAGCTCTGCACAGCCACTCCTCACTCCTGCCTCCCCTGGGTGGTTACAACCAGGGCGGCTGTAAAGGGCTTTTTCTTATCGTTGTTTTTGCTGAGTGCTCTTCTGTCAGTTCTTTGTAAACAGGAAACTGCAAATGCAACTGACAAACAAATACGCAGATCAAAAGAATGTGAAACAATTTCTCTAACTAAGAGAAAGGGTAGGTGATCATCTCTCAGTGTTTCTACATAATGTGAAATGCTGAGATGGGAGGAAGGATTTTTATGATCATTCAAATAAAACAGCTTTGGTTAAGTTGCTGTGCTGTGTGCCGGTGAATTTGGTTGGCTGAGAGTATGTGACAAAAATTAGTTTCTTGTATTTTCTTTCAGAGCAGTCTGTTGGCAGGGCTTGGCAATATCTTATACAGCCAAAGCTGCCCTTCCTAACCTTGTTTCAGGAAGTATTCAACTCCACAGAGGTGGAGGAGTATAAAAAGGGCAAGACAGAGAGGCAACAAGTGCAGGGTCTGTGTTAGGTATTATTAATGGACTTAAGACAGCCAGAGATCAGAGCTATAACTGAACTTAAGAATTTGAAATCATAACAAGGAACTGGGCCTGTCATGTACATTTACTCTGAAATGTTGTCTATTCTTTTATCTGCTGATGTTCTTGTCTTGTCCTAAATTTGAATGCTCAACTCCTCAAGCCAGGAATGCTACACCTGTAAGTTGTCAGGCTTAACACAATTGCAGTCCATGGTTAGGGTTTCTGGTACTGCTGTGGAAATAAATCATGAAAGCAACTAACAGGTGTTGTTCCCTTCTTTACTTTTTAGCTTTTCATTCTGGAGAGAGGAAAAAAGCCATAAGCTTCTCTAACAAAGACAGCACAAAATGGTTGGGTAGTAGGGTGAAAGACACTCCAAAAATACCAAATTTTTTTCTTTTCTCAGATAGAAAAGCTCTGCTTTTTCAGTTTAGCATCTGTACAATATTAAAAGCTGTCATTTCAAGTTTCTTTTTAAATACAGACTAAATCTAAACTGCAGATCTAATCTCAAAGAGGGGCTGCTATGAAGCAAGAAAGGAAATGGGAGGAGTAGTTACCATTTAATTCAAACCCATTGCCCCTGGGTAGAAAGATTTGCAGCTGCTTTCTCACCTCACCTTCAGATGAGCAGTTTGGCTACAGAGCAGTGTGAGTGCTGGGTCAGGGTGTTGAGCACAGGGACATCACACAGCTACAGGTTGTTCCCAAGACACCATAACCAGTGTCCTGGCACAGCAATGGCTACTCTGGTTAAGACACATACCAGGTAGGACATTTAGATAGGTATAAGCCCATTCACAGGATAAATTGTGGCCAAAATAATGCAGCTCCTGTATTGTATTTGTGACTACCTCTCCTCAACACAGTCAAGCATCTTCTCTTCTTGGTGAGATTCTATTCATGGTTGGGTTCCCCTCTCTAAAGCAAGGATTCTCCAACTTCTGTGCAGATCATTCTTTATTTTCCTATTTGTTGAAAGCCTTCCCTTTTTCTGATAAGTGAAATCTGATGTTAAATGATCTGTTACAAAAGCAGGCTCTAGCTCCATTTCCCACCCCTGCTTCCAGTATTTCTGAGCCCAGCGTTTCCTGCCGTTAGCAGTGACAGAACTGCTGAAAAAGCCCCACTCCTTATCAGTTGCACTTCACTCTGTGATTGCTTTCAGGAAACTGAAAGCAGCCAGCTCTGTAAAAATGTGTGTGCCTGGGGAGCTTCCACTCCAGCAATTTGCCTTGTAAATCTTCCTGGTGGCATCTGTGGATATTGAAGCGATACATCACCTCACTTTACACACAGTTCTGGCATAGTTGGTCAGTCCTACCCCATATCCTCAGTGTACACATAATTAATATTTCAAAATTAAAAAAAAAAAAAAAAAGTTTTTCAAAAAGGGGAAGGCATAGGGGTTACTTTGATGTGTTTCCTGCATCGACACTCAACACTAAACAACTTTCTCTTAGATATTCCTCTCAGAATTTTTTTTTTGTACAATGAAGGAAAAGGTGTATTGCTTAATTCATAGTTAAGCATGACAGCTAACAGAGCCAAAATATTCCTCCTTGCAAACAGAACTCTCTTGAGAGCTTTCTTGGAATTGGCTTATTCATTTCTGCATGTTGTACCTCTCTATAACACCTTGGAACTTCCTTTAAAATGTTTATTCAATTGCTTTAATTTTTACAAAAAAAAATCCTCCCTCATAGCTCTTTTTGAGCCTTTCTGATTCTTCTTCTCTCTTGCTTTTTCTTTTCCTCTTTGTTCTTCTTTTCCTTTCTCTTTTCTTCTTTTTCCCCTATTTTTTCTGACCATGCCATAGACCAACTTTTTACTATGCTCACCACAGCTCAGCAGGATTGATAGCTGAGTGGGATTTGATAGCAGGCTGATAGCTGAGTGGGATTTTACATGTGTTAAAGCAGAGCACATGGCACTTGAGCTTCTGGTGAGAGACTGGCTGAGAAAACATGGATTTAGAAACTACAGCACTTGTGTGGACAACATTTGGTTACCTTAGAGTGTGACCTCCTTTTCTGTCATTACAACTAAAAATAAAAAGTATTATTGGAAGACAATATCAAGAACCTTAAAACTGAAGTATAAAAGAACTCTGCAAAGAATGGCATCCCCGAAATTATTCAAACAAGGAGTGAAAACTAGACAGAAATATTTACCCTGCAAATATTAATTTATTGGCTGTAAATATATTCATTGATTTTACAGTCTAATGTGGCTATGTCTCATGCTCTAATAAATGTGTTTGATTAGAGTCAATATGCAGTGCTGCAAATGTGTTTCCCACATCACAGCTTTGCCAGATGACAGTGTTATTACTCCAACTCTCAACTCAGGAAATCACACAGCCAGTTAACTGACCTCAATCTTATCCATTTCACCTGTCTTTAAACTCCACTGAAATGACATGTGAGATTATTAATTGCATTTTTTTAATGCAATGAGAAGAAAATGATAATAAAACAATGAAAACTGGTCTGTCTATAATTAACAGAACCTATCCAGTGTGCCACTGAACAGCACAATGTGCTTGTACAAATTCTTCTTCTGCCTGTGCCCCACCAGTGCCTGTTTAGTCTGACCTTTTTTTACTTTTTCTGCTTAGCAATGTAGTAATTGCATCATCTGCTCACTAGATGTAAATAAATTCACAGAATATTGTGAAAATGAAATGATCTTTAAAGACCATTAGCCAGACTCACAGAAAATTTTGAGAAGCAGTGCAAAGTAAATGAAGTGTGTTTGTGCTTGAAGTCCAATGGACTGTCCAGGACACTGAAAAATTCAGGGAGTTTGAAAATTCTAGCTCAATATGGAATATTAAATGTTTGTTTATTGTTCAAAGTTACCCTCTTGCTAAGAGGAAAATAAATTGTTTTTCATATTGCTGCTAAGAAACCAGAAAAATAACAAGAACATAATTTCAAGTTATTTTCTTCCTTCTGTGCTTCTTCCACCCAGATACGTAACACAGTTGTGGAAATTGTCAAAAAGTCCTTCTCATGTACCTTCTTGCACCTTTAGGAACAAGATAAGCTGTAAGGGATGAAAAGCTCTACTAGAAGTTTACCATTTCAACTATCTTATTTCAACTATTCATCTGGCTGTGACACAAATGGGCCTTTACAGTAGAACTGAAAAATTTATTTCTTCAGACTTTTCCAAAACAGACACTTCTGCAAAGAGCATGGAATAAAATTTATTCTCTACGAGAATATCAGCACAGTAACACAAATCTCATGTAAGTCTGACTATCTAGCCAAATGCCATAAAATTGGGGTACACCTGAATGTTTTTGAAAATTATGCATGTGACAGTCCACATTTGTATCACATATATAATTCAAAGTTTTGATTCAAGTCAGGAACAGTAAGACCTAATTCTGTATAAACACTCAATAAATGCTTATCCAAACTGTTGCCTATACCATTCTTCAAAGAAAGAAACCTGAAAGAAGAAAGTAATTAGTATTATTTATAATTATAATACAAAATTTAAACAAGCCTACAGAAATAGCTTCTCTCACTAGGGAGCTGGACAGATGGGTTGGCATCAAAACACTGCCAGGTCTCCTATGTGGGTCTTCTATTTGTATTCTGTTTTGGTTTTGCAAACAACTGTAATAGTCCGTGCTGTGTGCACAAAGCTGCAATTTTTAATGACAAACAAATCATAAGAAAATATTTAAACAGTACAGAAAGTGTGAATTGAAAACTCTGAGCAGTATCGATGTGTGTGCACATGCATGAATATAGATAAAATACACACCAAAAATAAACAAACCCAACCAGGCAGCACTGCTATTGTGACCTTCCTGTTAGTAGAAATTCAAGCCCTGTGGTTTATTCTACTTTTTAGCACTTTTGCAGCCATATCATCAAAAACTGTGAGTCACCTATGTTTGCAGAGGAAAATGTGTGAGAACACCTTTTCTGCCACATTAAGTGGGAGAGTTGTGGACATAGTGACACATCCTGTTGACTGAAGCTGATCTCCCTCTCTGCCCTTTTGGGAACACTTTCTTCCTTCTGTACAGCTAAAAATGATGTTCATGATTCAAAGTCATAAAAAATCATAAAATACACATTTTAATTTTAAATATTTTTCCTTTAAATGCAGGAATTTATTATTCTTTACTGGCCATGTTTAATATTCATTTTGCAGACACATATCAGAAAAGGACAAAGAAAAGTTCCTGGCACTTGGCACACCAGAGAGTGCTACTGTGTGGGTGTGTGCAAAGACCAGATCATGTACATGGCTGACCAGGGCCAATTGTTTGCTCTATTCTTGTTTCTTCTGAAGAAAAAAACCCCATATTTCAACATGCACTTCAATGTAAATTTTGAAACTTCACTTACAACGCTTATCCCTGTAATGCAAATCAGTTGCAACTATTGTTGCAGCTATTGACTATAATCAGTCATAAGGCTGAAGTCAGGAATAAATAATTTTCATGAATTGTTTGGATAAAGTATACAGCCCGAAGTGCTGTTGATTTTTGGGAAATGCAAAATCATTTGTTGGAAAATATAAAATGGAAAATCATAGGGGTTTTTTTTTTCAGAACAGTTCTAGATTTCTACATACATGGGATATTAGACTTTCTCTGAGATATTGTTGATGTTAGAGGACAGATTTTGCCTGGAGAACAGGTGGCTATAGGCATTTGAGGGAAAGGAGTTTAATTTTTAAAGTTTTGCTTAATTAAAGCCCAATTTTTGCTAATCCATCTCTAGTATATTGTGAGTGGAAAGTTATCTGCAAGCATCTTCAAAGATGTCCACAGACATCCAAACTCAGGTTTAATTTTGGGAATCCACAGTCAGGGTCTTCTACAGAGAACACTGCACCCTGGGTGCACCCTGGGGTGCATCAGCATTATTCATGCACAGTGCCCCAGTTTTCATGAGTTCCCTCAAATAATTTGCTCAGAGTGTGTCCATTCTGCATACTCTAGATGTCACTCGCCTCAAATGAGCTCCAGGTCTGGTTTAGGCACCTGGAGTTGGCAGAGACCAAGGTACCCTGTGCTTGGCCAGAAATCAGAACTTGTTCAAAACTCAGCGTGGCTGTAGCTTCCACCAGCTGTGCTCCCAGTGCCCAGGTGCCCCCAGCTCCCAGCACAGACCCTCAAACAGCTCTGCTCTGGGTAGGAGTGAGCCCAGCCCATTTGCTGTCTAATGATGGAGGACCTCCGTTTCCAAACGAAACACAAAGTTCATCAAAGGCCATAGAGGAGCACAGGACTTAAGAGCGACCTTTTTCTTTCAGTACAAGTCATTTTATTGCAAAATTTGTACTGCATAAAGTAAACAGCAAGTAATTTTACTGCAGATGAAGATGGATTTTGATACTGTCTGTTTGCTCAAGTATCAGATTTACTGCTTCAGATATCTCTGCCTGAGCAAGTTTTTTGTGAAGCAGCTGTGCAAGACTCCTTTTGCTGCCCCTGGACTCCTTTTGCTGGCTGTGCAGAGATGCTGGTTCATAAGACCTGTTTGAGACATCTGCTATGGACTGAGCACAAGCTCAGGAAGACTGTGTTAGCTGTCTGCATGGCAGATCTCTGCTTTTCATCCAGAGAATCCCACTCCAAGTGTGTGCTAGTGACTTACATGGTTTCTAAGAAGGTCCTCGGTGTGGCAGAGAGGGCAGTCCAAGCCTGCAGCACAGTCCCTAACTGTGGTGGTGAGGGAGAGGTGAGATGCTCATCTTCCTCCTGAAGAGGAGGCTGATACTGCACCAAAACTAGTCTGCCAACTCTCTGCTCCCATAGGGATATCTGAAAGAACAAATCTTGAGCAAACAGCCAATAACAAAATCTGATTTTCATTTGTTAGTCACACTGTGTACCTTGAAGGAGAGGCTGATTTCTACTAGTGAGCAACTGGTTGTACCAGTCATGCCAGGGCAATTAAAAAAAAAATCTTTAGTTTTGAAAAGGTGTCGGCATGGAGGTGTGTACTCCAGATACAGGTGTTTGCTAATGGATGACTGTCCCCTGGGTGTGCAGCCACTGATTGGAGGGGACAGATGCATAAAGAACCCCAGAAGCAGAGCAGGCTCCATCCTCCAGGAGAGCCCTGAGGCTGTGCCTGCTCAGGAGAAAGCCAGGCTCCAGAAGCAACATGTCTCAGCTGGAAACTGCAATGGGAATGACCATTGCTGTCTTTGACCAGTATGCAAGGACTGATGGCAACAGGCAAACCCTCAGCAAAGCAGAGCTAAAGACTCTGCTGGAAAAGGAGCTCCCAAATTTCCTTGCGGTAAGAGAACAGCGCGGCACTGTTTCTGCGTAGCAGGTGCAAGAGCAGCCTGCAGGAACAGTTTTTAATACATTTTTAGGGAAATTATATCCAAAAATATGCAATGGCTTGTAGGAAAATTTGAAATTTTAAAAAGATTTTGCACAAACTGTGTAAAACTCATTTTAATATGCAGGGCCATTCCCTATTTGCTAAATCATCACTTAGGTTATCAGGACAATGGCTTTGAAACAGATTTGGTTTCAACTTCAGATTGATTGCAGATGGGGAATCTCTACCTAAATATTTATACATTTATCTTCTCTAGGTATTTATACTGCATACTCAGTATGCTCATCAAAATGATGCATAAATCAGAACAACAGATGAACTCAAAGCAAACTGGCATTTTTCTTTAACAGCAAAAGAAAGACATGTTTTGTATTGTACTACATAGATTTGTATGTAATCATAAAATGCATTTCAGTAGGTATTCAAAGTGCTTAATATATTCTAGTAAAAGCTTTAGCTGCTGGGGAGACAATTTCAATTTTTTTTAAAAATTTGTTTCCCTTCACTAAAAATACAGAAAATACTTTTACATACATTGTTCTTTCCACATTGGAGTAATGTTTCCCTATTTGTACTGTTTTGTTACTGTTCTAAATGGCAAAAGTCTAGAACCAAATGCTCCTTGTGTGGCTTTCAATTTTTGCATCCAGCATAGTTCAATTTTATAGCAACTCTTTCAGGGCACTGCAGCCAGGACACTTGATACAATTCAGTATCTTTCCATGCAAGCTATATTAATTCATCAAATGAAATCCACACCTGCTGGAGTTATGGCTCATAAATTAGAGATGCAATATTCAGAATGAGGACCAGTGGGGATATATTCCAATGTTTCTGAGAAACCTGTGTAAGATAGATATGTGCTTGTGACCCAACAGCATCACAGAAGGGCCCTGCTCTTGAGCATGGAGCTGTGTGGTACCCACAGCACCTCCATATAAAGAGAAAATAACCCAACAACAAAACCACAATTCTGTGATGGCATGGAAAACCCCCAGACACTTGGCATTTGGCCTAAATAAATTTAAACCAATAATATTCCTTGGTCCTGTCTTGCCAGACTGATAACTGCAATAAAAAACCTGAGAACATAAGTCTGACTTCAGAAAAAAAAAAGTTCTACCTGCATTTTCCTTCCATTTATATCTTTATTTTTTCATTTGCTAAAAAATCTAGGGAACAGTGTTTTTTAATTACTCGTGTATGCTTTTGGCCTTAGATTTGGTTATAACTGACACAGATCACAACTTTCTGGAAAGATCTTAAATAAATCAGACATAAATATCACAGGACTGAAGGACTGGACTCAGTTATAAAGAATTTCCAAAAAACAATTCCCATTTTTGCATCTCAGAAGTAATTCAGATGCTACAACTCGTTCATATAGTTCACTAAATAATTTGAAATATTCACTTATAAAATTAAAACACTTGAATTTACAAATTTAAAATTAATTAAACTTTCCATATATATTCATCTGTCAAATCTAAGGAAATGATTAAATTTTTCGTGATTTTAAAACCTCTGCATTTAAAGTGAAACATTAAATTGCAGGATGACAAATTTGTTAATTAGAACATGATCAAAAAATGCCTTCAGATTTAAATTTAGGTAGCAATAGTTTTATTGGGGGAAATTTTTCAAAAGTTTATATAATTTCTTTCTAGAATTAGATGAGATTATTTTTTTACCTTCTATGAAAGCCACACGGTTGTTCCCTAGCTTTAACAGGTCTGTACCGCCATCCCCTGTTTAATATTAAAATTGCAGCTTCAAAAATCCCTGTAGATTATTAGGAGCACCAAAAAGCCCACCTGTAAACAGCTTTTCTTTTTTAAAATCTATTCTGGCAAAATTTAAAAAAAAAAAAAAAGAGAGATAAAGCCCCCCCCCCCCCAAAAAAAAAAAAAAAACAACAAAAAAAAAAAAACCAAAACCACAAACAGATTTGTTTGGTTTTTAAATTTGATTTTTAAAAATTTGTTTGTTTTTAAATTTGACTTTTAAATTTGATTACGCTATTCTTAACATCAGCCTTGAAATGTAGTGGTTCACAGAGTCACAGAAGCACAGAATATGCTGAGTTGGAAGGGACCCACAGGGATCATTGAGTCAAACCTCTGGCCCTGCACAGGACACCGCGAGTCACACCGTGTGCCCCAGAGCACTGTCCAAGCACTTCCTGAGCTGCCAGGCTGCTGCTGTGACCCCTTCCCTGGGGAGCTGTTCCAGTGCCCAGCCTCCCTCTGGATGAAGAACCTGATTTTTTTCCCTGATATCCAACCTAAAACCCGCCCCCCACACACACAATTTCATTCCCTGGGGTCCTGTCAGTGTCACCAGAGAGAAGAGATCAGTGTCTGCCCCTCCTCTTCCCCTCATGCACTGAGGTCTCCCCTCAGTCTCCTTTTCCCCAGGCTGAGCAGACCCAATGTCCCCCGCCACTCCCGACAGCTTCCCCTGAAAACCCTTCACCATCTCCACTGCCCTCCCTTGCACACTCTCTAATTGTTATCTGTTTCTGTATTGTGGTGACCCAAACTTCCCCCAGCACTTGAGGTAAGGCTGCCCCAGCCCAGAGCAGAGCAGGACAATCCCCTCCCTTGCCTGGCTGGCCATGCTGTACCTGCTGCCCCAGGACAGGGCTGGCCCTCCTGGCTGCCAGGGCACTGCTGACTCTTGTTCCACTTGCCACTGACCAGGACCCCCAGGTGCCTTTCTGTGGTGCTGTTCTCCAGCATCTCATTCCCCACTATGCCCGTACATCCAGGATTGCCCCATCCCAGGTACAGGATTCAGAACTTTTCCTTGTTCCCTTCATATGGTTGGTGACTGCCCAGCCCTCTCATTTGTTGAGGTGCCTCCACAGGGCCTCTCTGCCTTCAACAGAGTCAGCAGCTCCTCTCAGTTTTGTATCATCTGCAAACTTGCTCTGAATCCCTTCCAGTCCCATGTCCAAGACATTTATGAAGATGTTGAAGGGCACAGGGACAAAGATGTCACTGTGGAGCCCCTCTAGTGACAGGTCCCCAGTCTGATGTCTCCTCATCATGCCCCATCCATGAGCCAGTTGCTCAGCCATGCCATGATGTGTTTATCCAGCTGTGTGCTGGACATTTTGTCCAAAAGGATCCTGTGTGAGACAGTATTGAAAGCTTTACTGAAATCCAAAAAGAGGACATCAGCTGGCTTCCCTTGATCAACTAGGTGTGTTACTTTATCATAAAAGGAAATCAGGTTTGATAAGCAGGACTTTCTTCTCATGAAGCCATTCTGGCTGTGGGTGCTGATGTTGTTCAGTCATTCCATCAGAATAGTGGCAACTTAGAAGAATAATGACAATTTAGAAAAAGATTTACAGTGTTAATTCAAGCTCAGCATCCCACAGGCTTCAGGAGGCACCTTCCCAGCCACAAGCTCCTGTGAACAGCTTCTGCTGGGCCATAAGGCCATTGGCAGCACTCAAAGTACTTTTGAGGCTGTTTGCATATTTTCTGGGGTGGAAGTATTCAATGAAGCTTAAATTTTACTTTTGCCCCAGGTAAGTGTCTTTTTGCAAAACAGCAAGCTGCCTGTGCTCCAACTGATTCTTCCCAGGGGAATGGATAGGGAACTCATAGGAGTTAATTCATCTGGGGATTGTCCTCAGGGCTTTGTGCTTTAATGGTGATAAATGCTGTTTTAAATGTAGCAAACATGACTGTGACAGTGCACACTGCAGCTCTCAGATGTAATAAACCCAGGAGAACATGCTTTTGGTACTCACTGCTGCTGTGCAGACAGTGGGAACACACAGCACCTTACCAAGTGCCCAGAGCCCAACCAAGGACCTTGTCTGGAGAAGTTGCTGCACTGGGGTTGTGCATCCTCTCACCTCAACCTGCTCTTTTTCTTTTGCAGTCTGGGAAGGACAAGAATGCTATTGATAAAGTCTTCAAGAACCTGGATGAAAATGGAGATTCCCAAGTGGACTTCAAAGAATTTGTCATCTTTGTGGCAGCTCTGACTTGCTGCTGTCACAAATATTTTGAGCGGAATGCAGCCAAATAGTTGTCAAACTACTCACAAAAGCTGTCTTTGCCTGTGCTCCATATGCTAGTGATATGGATCCCTTCACTCCTTCCATGTACTGCTGTGAAGTTTGCAAGCACACTGGACTGTAAAAATAAACCCTACTGAGCTTATTTCCTATCCTGAATGCTAATTTCTTCTCATTTGTGGAACAGCCTGGGCTTAATGACTCCCACTAACTCACACTGAGTAGTTTCTCCCTTTCTCTGATTTTAAAAGTCTTTCCTTAGCCAAAAGGTTGATTATTCATACCATTGCAGAAGCTGCACAAGAATAAGGGCTGCTGGAGCCATGAATCAGTTGGAGGCTGTTTTTATACACCAGCATCTCTGGGATGCTCCCAAACCCACACGTGTGCCACCACAGCTGTACAGGACAGGCCTCACTGGCCTTTGAGCCTATTTGGTACCCTCAGACGTGTAGTTTTTGCAGGGCTACCTTGTAGGTTCTTCCTTGGTTAAACAACAAAACAATCCCAAACACCTTTTCTGTTTTTTTCCAGCATGGACAATTCTGTGCAGTTTTGTATGCTAGTGAGCCATCTCACCCAGATCACATAGATTTATTTTCTATGACATCATAAGATTTTTGTATAAAGCAATATATTGATATTGCTTTAAAATAAATTTAAAAACACTCTCAAATAGTGCCATAGTGTTTTTGCCTGAAGCAAAAATGCAGCAATTTTTGCTTCCTCACCTGAAAAATGTCTGTGTGGGGAAGTGGAAGAAATTGCTTTCAGAGGAGCAGGCAACAGACATCAGCTATTTGCAACTGAAGCAAGACTGTTTACAGAATCAAATCTATGTTCTGAAGCACTTTGCCAGCATGTCCCAACACAAACTGCAAAAACATTAAATTTAGTTCCTTCTTCTACAGAACAGTACTGTTCAATGGTATGCTATGCTAGCAGCCAGGGGAAATACCCTGTCCTACTGCATGTGCAAATGTGGTGTGTAGGTAGAGGTGCCACAAAGTCCCTCTGGAGCCCCTGAAAGATCGTGCAGCACAGCAAAAGCAGGAACAGGAGCTCAGTTTCACTGTGTTTCCTGAATCTGAAATTACATCACAGGTTTGACCCATTCATAACCCTATACAAACATACCTTGTTTAGGTGTATTCATCTTCTGGGGAGCTCGATGAGAAATTTTGGTCTTATTAGTTTCTTTCAGCCTGATTTAACCATTACAGGTTTTGTTTCATCTAGCTTGGTCTGGGGCTGGATGGCTGGAGATGAATTGCAACACATCCATTACACTTGCAGAAGTACCATTACCTGTGTTACTGATAACAGTAATACTTTTCTGCATTACCTGAGCAAGAAAACCATTAATCACCAGAATGTGCAAAAGTCTTCCCAGTCCAGAGATCCCAAGTTAGCCTTTTCTTCAGAGACTGCTCCATATCATTTGCCATTTTTTGAGACGTCTTTACAGCTCTAATCCAGGCTGGCTCTGCCCTGTGGCTGCTGTGCCACTTGCAAGGGCTGATTCCATTATTACATCCCTCACCATTTTGTCAAGCTAAAAACGAGCAAAATATTCTGCTTGTTGCAAAGAAAGCTAATTCTAAATACAGAGTCAAAAAATTCCTATATTGCACATTTGTCTAGTGAGTGGTATAAACCATCCTCGGACAATCAAATCTTGGTGATGCATATCAAAAATTGATCGGTATATCCTAATTTTTTTGAAATGTATTTTTATTTTTACAAGTTTAGCATTAACACCTAATGTTCTTCATTGCTTCAGAATATCCAGCCTCACTGATTTTTTTTGTTTTTTACCACTATGTGGCACTAAATGCAGCCTTTTCATTGCTCATTGAGCCCAAAAGTGCATGTATCAATACAGAATTAAAAGAAACTATGTTAAAATTAGAAAAAATAAATCAGAAGTGTTCATAACATGTCAATAAAATGTCAACTTTATTTCTGGACAAATACCATATGTCTCATCAAGGGCATTTACTGATTGCAGTGGAAGCAGCAGGAGCTAAGGGCCAGGCAGAGGCTCCATCTCTTGAGCTTTTGGAAGGATTTAGCTGCACCATCCCAATCTCATCCTTGTGGAAGTGTTTCCTCTCACTTGTAAATTGCAAACCTCCTGTGCAATTTATTGCAGCATTGTTCTCCACAGCATTGAAATGGCATTGTTCTTCATAGCATTGAAATTGCTTTTAAAACACAGCTTTTAAAGAGAATGTTGGTGAAAAGCTCTACCTGTCTTATGAGCTAAGGAATTCACCTTGTTACTCCATTTTATCAATCAGATCTTTAAAACCACATTATTGACCAGTGAGAGCAGTGACATACCCCACATTTCACTCTTATTTCATAAACTTCCTGCCCCCAGTCCAATACCCACACCACTTCATTCACCCATTAATGCCATTTTGTCCATTTTCCTGAAAATCTGTAGTTTTTTTCAGTGCTGGAGGACTGCTCACAGCAGTCCTGGTTGCAGCAGCCCAAAGCTGCTTGGTAACTGCTCCACCTTGCCAGAGGGGTTCTGGCTGACCATGATGAGCCCAAGTACCTTTGTCTCCTTGGGGAGCACCAGGGCTGTCCCTCACTGTTCTCATTGTTCCTGCAGCCCCAACCCTCAAAACTCTTACGTTTGTCTTGACCTCTTGGTCCCACATGAGGGGACACCTGGAGAGCTCAAAGCCCTGCCCAGAAGCACATGGATGCTGTGTCCTGCTTTGTTAACCCAAGGGAGCTGTGCCTGTTCAGAGCTGCATGAAGAGTGGGAAGAAGAGGGGTTCAGGGCTTTTTTCTTTTTCCCTACAGGTTTTTCAAAAGCTGTAACTCTGTGATGAATATTCATTTCAATGTAGTACTGAAAACTCAACTTGATGACACCTCACAGAGAAAATGATCCAGGAATAAAAGAAATTAACATATAGCTCCCACCTTACCATAGAACAAAAGTGACTTTTCAGAATATATTATTTAACCTAAAAGCATCTGAACAGAGTCACTTCAGTATCTTTCAATCCATTAATTTTCTTTCCCAGTATTATTGATTTTCACTATGAACCTACAGTTTACACAGAATATACTGTGTATTTCCTTCCCTCAGTAAACTTTTGTAACTCAAAGTTCAAGCTACAGAGACAGTAGACCTGGTTTTAAACCTTCAATTTAATTTCAACTTTTAGGCCTCAACATCTTATGTACGATGAGATAATTTAAGAAACTCTATAGGCAGCTGTAGGGGAAAGGAAAATAACATAAAAGGCAACTTGGAATATATAAACTAACAGCTGTGGCTTGTGCACATTTGACCTAGCTATCTGAAAGGAAAAAATAGATGGGAAAATATATTTCCAGCAAATGATAATATGGGAAATCATCATTTGTGATGTGATGAGTTCCAAATTAAGCAAGTATTAAAGGCAGAGGTGAGAAAGTCAGCTAAGCAGCAAATCAGCCAATAGATATTTTTGTAATACAGAAAAAAATATAAATTTATATTAACATCAGATCAATTCTATGGATTAAAATATTCCAGTACCTGTAGTTGCCATTTTGAAATCTAGTGGGCTACTATCAACACTCTTCAATTTTTAAAATGACATCTTGAAATCTGATATTTGAGTGTGCATACAGGAGAAAACAGGCATAATGTTATTACCTAACACTTAAGTCACTTGTGGACACTGATGCTGCCATTTTGGCTGGGAATATTCCTCGTTATTTTACCATAAAGTTCAAGGAAAAATTTGAAAAAAACCTCATCCAGTTAAGTACACTGTAAATCTCCCCAGCAATCCCAGTTTGGGACTGAAAACGGGAAGATTTCTTTCCCCAAATCCTCTGAGCATCCTACACTAGCAATGTGCACTTTCAACACTTGACCCGGAGTGTCAAGATCAAGCTTTTCTTAAAATACATTTTAGCTGCTGGTTTCCTTACAGAAGGTGGGCAGGGGAGGAGGAGGAGATATTACCTGTCTTTTATGTAACAGCCTCACTGTGAAATGCTCCTGTAAGAGCTGGGAAATTGTGTTCAAATCTTTCCTTGAGTGAAACCCACCCACGCCAGCTGCGTGCACCAAACAGCAGGAAGCCCATGGCACCTGACAGTGACTCCCACCATCGTGGCAGGTGCTCGTGGGGCTGGGAGCCTGGGAAAGGCTGCAGGAGAAGCAGCACATCTCTCTGGCAGATGGAGTACATGGCCAGTCCTGCAGGTGTCTGTGTCCCAGAGACAAAGTAAGAGCACATTCTGTATTTTAGTCATTTAATACAGACTCTTGAATGCAAAACACAGACCTGGCATAGTTGAAAAGATGTTTCTTGCCAGGCGAGTTCCCAAACCATTGAACAGTAGGAGCATGGTCACTGCTCTGGTCCTCTCTCTTGGACAACGTTCTCTGCAACAGGCTGAAAAGGTGACAGCAGAGGATGACAGGGAGCATCTCCTCCATCATTTTCTTCTCCTCCTTCTCCTCCTCCTCCTCCTTCTTACCCTCATCTTCTTCTCTGAGGGAGTGTCTCCTCCTCCTGCCCTGTGAAACAGCAGGTGATGCTCAGCCCACCACCAGCAGAGAGAGTCCTGCTGGTACATCTCCCCTGCCTTACATCTCCCTGCCTTAACCTTAACCATTTCCTGCTTCACAGCCCTCAGAGAAGCTTTTAAATAAAAATTAAAAGCTGACTCCAGCTCAGGCGCCTGGAGGGAATGATTGAGGTCTCTATTTTGCTAAAAAAGGTTCATGACTGCAGCCCAGGAGAGCTTGCCTGGCCTCCTCTGGGCCATGCCCTGTTGCCTGTGTCACAAAGCTCCCCAGCAGAGCTCATGCTTTTGGGTCCCTTGCTGAGGTACTTCTCCCACATGCTGGGAGCAGAGCCTTGGGGCTTAACACAGGTTTCTGCAGTCTGCTCAGATCCACCCACCTAGAAATTAGTCATTCCAGCAGCTAATTGACTATGCTTTTGTACCGCTTTTACAGGCTATTTTCTTCCCCAGAAAAATTCCTTTCTTTTTTCTTCCTAGTCAATAATTTTTTCTTAATCCTGTGCCAGCCTCAAAACCTGTGGGTCACAGCTCAATTCTGGAAACTGTTCATTGCATGAAAGGAGAGAAAATTCCATTTTTTTGAGAATACAGCTCTGCTATTCTCCAGCAGGTGATCAATAGGTGCATACACTATGTGATACTGCAGGACTAGGCACCAGAATATTTTATACATGAGTTTGAGTTTGTCTTTTAAAGTTTTCCATTGTATCCAAATAAATGTACTTATTTTCTTTTCCTCCTGATTTTATAACTTTCTATTTATATGCAACTGCCAATAGTATTTTCTTTTGTTTCATGACAAGAAGAAGTGGGTCTCTGTAGTATTAGGTAACTATTGACTGTTGCCTTCAGAAAGAACAAAAGGTTCCTGGAAAGATATTAATAAGAAAGATGAGCAGAGGTATGCTCTGGGAGCCAGAAACTTCCTTTCCAGGAGGAAAGTATGTGAACACAGAGACTGAAGCAACCTGCAGGTCCCTGCTATAGTTTTAGCCATGGGTTTAAACCTGATGAAGGGTTTAAAACGGTTTAAACCTGATGAAGGTTCGAAGACCCAGGATTGTGGGTTTGCTTTGGAAGCATTTTAATGTCCATGTATTTATTTCCCTTAGCCTGCAAAATCCTTGTTGTAGTGATTATAACTCCTTCCTTTCTCCCCATTGCCAAACCCTTCTCTGTAATTTAAGTCTGTGATGCTTTGACCAAGCAGTTTCAGATAGAGATGTTCTGGAAGCCACCAATACATCACAAAAGTCAATTTTGTGTTTCTGAATTAACTTTCCCACCTGTGCTCAGTCTCCCCATACTCTCTGTGAGAATTCCTATCTGTCAGTGCCAAGTTAATATGTTTAAAATACTGAACAGTAAAATCTGCAGAACGTCAAAGACCCAGTGCCCTCTGTTGTTCTTTCTGCAGGTGCAAAGAGAACTGTCTGAAATGAATTTTTAATTTTCCATGATAAAACCAACTTCTTCCTTCCTGTCACTGACTTCCCAAATGAAATGGATGAGAGAAAGAAAAAACCCAGAGTTGCAGTTGTAGGGGAACTGGAAAGGATCTAAAAGAAATAAAAATCCCAAGCAAGGCAGAGATGATGCTAGGCTTATCTTGGAGGGCTCTCTAGTTGGTGGTGAACATGTGTGCCTTGCCTAAGGCTCAGCCTGGGACTCAGCCTAGGACTGGGGCTAGGAGAAAGGGAAAAGCCCAGGCTGCAGTTTTAGGGTGCTGGAAAACACCTTCCAGAGCCAACTTGGGGCTGATGCTTGAATGTTTGATCTGAACATGTAGCTGGGTGCCCAGCCTTGTGCCACCTTACCTTCCAGATTCACAAGCATGCTGAAAGACACACACTCCTTAGGTTGGTAGTGCCTCCAGCCATCATTTCAGGGGTAGGTTCTTTTTAGTCTGGTTTTGGTAGGGATAAGTGCAACTCCTGCAAATCCAGGTGCTGGATCTTTCCATGGGGAGATTCTGCTGGCTCTCCCTCGTGCTGAGGCAGCAGCAGATCCTCGCTGACAGCCTGGCCCTGCACACAGGCTCAGGCACATCACCTCAGCTCTGTGAGCTGGAGAGGCAGGGAACACAGCAAAAGGCCAAAGGCAGTGGAGTGGGGTGAGGCAGACCTGCAGAACAGGGCATTCCCCCTATATCCTTGTTTTTCCCTGCTTTTCATGTTTTCCTTCTGTTCCTTCCTATTTTCTTCCATGCCTAATATGAAGGAACCTTTCAGCAGAAAGCCACTCTGTGGTTTACTCTGTAAATTACAAACCAAAGCATTTCTGTCCTGCAAAGTCCCCCAAAGACAAGCAAATGAGCTGTCCTCTTCTCGACAGAGGCGGCTGCTATTTTGGCTCACAGTCCAGCCTGCACAACGTAGTCCTTTCTGCTGAGTCCCACCCTGCTGCATGGCAGCTCAGTCTTTCAGCCCGCAGAGAATGAGCTGAATATAAGCAATGTGTGATTCCAATTTGCTCAGGCTATGCAAAATTACTTTATTTAATGGGCTGGTTTGCAAAAAGGTTCAGATACAACAAAGCTGTGATTTAGGCTGGGTTTTGCAGCCCTCTCAGTTTTAGAGCAATAAAAGTGAAGCAATGTTAACCTTCTTTCTGAAGGATATTGTGCACAGAAGCATGAGCTAAGGATCTCTCCATGGGCAGCCTGTCCTCTGCAGAGTTCAGCGCTAATGACGGCAGAAGGAAAAATAATTTTATTTTCCTGACACCTTTAATTAGGAAATGAAGGCTCTTCAAGAGACAGTTCAACAGTACTAAATAGCTGTTTAATCTTTATTTTGGGAAGTGTGGTGCCAAGCAAGTCCAGGGTCCATTTGGCTCTGTCTCCTCTGGCAATTATGCTTTTGGATTAAGTTTTCTTCCACAGGAATGTTTTAGGTAACCAGGAAAGCTGGGGAAAGGCTTTTTAGAGAGATACAGGGAGGCTCTGGACCAGTTCTCTGAGGATTAGGAGCAGAGCTGCTGACAGCAACATGCAGGTAGTGACAACCACGTGCTTCAGAAAAAGCTGAGTGAGGCTGCCAACCCTGGACAGGAAGGGGAGAAAGGAGCCACCCCCACCACCCACCTCACATACGAGGTCTGAGTCCAGACAGGATGCCAGTAAGAGGAGGTAGGTTTACATAGCTTTTTACTATTGCAAAGCAGAAGTTTGGCCACATTAATACTTTGCCTCACAGAGATGAGAGCATCTCTGGGCTTTCACATTAACTGAGCTTGGAAACGTTTCCTGCAGAACCAGCACAGGCAGAACCATCTCACAGAGAGCAGTAGAAGAAACAGAGCTGTAGAATCACAGACACTCTGCAAGGCTGCTGTAAACTGGCCCCATGGCTGGACTGAGACTCAGCAACTGTCCCACCTCTAACTCCAGGAGGTCATCTATAACATAAAGATTTGAATGGTGGTCACTAGCTGCTGCACTCTGTAGATGCTGGTATGACCTCACCCTTTCTTCTAAATCTACCTGTTCTTGGAAGAAATAATCTTCAAATTAAAATAAACCAGTTATTGGTATATTTTACCATCCTGTGGTATATACATTTTACTATTATTGTATTTTGGTTTTAAAAGTTTTTTTAGATTTCAAATTTTTAAAAATTAAAAAATTATTATCTGTTAAAGACTAGGGCTTCATATAGTGTTGTAAAATAAAAATAAAAATATTTTGAAAGATATTTTTTAACTCTGAAAATGTACATAGTACTGAAGCACATCTAGAAAAGAACATGAAAAGAAAAACAGAAGTATGGACCTGGTAAATGTGTCACAATTCATAGCCACATGATCTTTCCAAACAGCATCAAAAGTCAGCTGTACTTGGACCAGAAGTGGTGACCCTCCTCCTGCCTGGCTACAGGAATGCTGATAGCTGGTCATCAAACTTTGGACCTTGGCATAAAGGTGTGGGGATTAAGATTTTTGGTTGGAAAAGCCCTTAATGTGATTTGGAATAAAAATGCTGGGTCCCCATAGCAAAGAGTACTAAGTTTCACAGTTTGTCAACAATATGGGGTGATAAAAGACAATTGATGATAACACACAAAAGATCCTCAAATGCTTTGCTATAGGACATGGCTTGTTCTCTGTTTGCATAGTGCCTTTGTTTCAAAGTACAAGTGAAGGATAACAGTAGTGAAACAGAAAGCAATACTTGACAATGAAAGCAAACAAGTCATCAGCTCTGGACCTCAAGCAAAAACAATAGATCGGAGTTACAGAGGAAAAGAAAAGAGAAAGACAATGGGAGAAGCAACATAAAATGAAGGAAACAAATTCCTATGACTGTAGTTATAGCTGAAATTTTGAATGATAAAGAAATACATTTTTACTGCATCTCCTTGAGGGAAGAAGCAGAGACCATGTCTACCTTTCTTTTAGACCTCTTCTAGTGTTCTGCTTTGCTCATGGCAGTGCCTAAGTCTGCAATACCCCATTAGAATGGCTGCCAAAAATTTTGGATTATCTAGAGTATGCCTACCCTGCACTGATTTATCTGGTCTTCTGAGAAGCATTGAAGTACTTAGCAAAATAATTTTAGCTTTGTTTTTGTCCCTCAAACAGCCAGATTGCCCATGCCCTTTGCCCTCCTGTTCCACAAAGAGATTCTGCCTCACCCTTGTCATTATCCACCCTCCACTACCAGAGCTGGAACCGCTGTTCTCCCCTCCGTGCTCTCCTGTGCCATCGAGTGCTCTTCTGCCTCTGCTGGGGTGGGACAGTCTCAGCTGGGCTGGGAATCACAGCAGCCCCCAGGGAGACAGCAGAAGATGATGTGGGAAGACTAAAAAGTACTCTTACAGAGAGCATGGGGAAAGGATGGCAGGGGGCAGGAAGGGGGATATACAGAAATCACCTCTCAGGGCATTAAACCAAGCCTGAATTTACTCTTTCAGTGCAGGAAGGAACCAAACCCTTCACTGTTGTCCAAATAAAACCAGATGTATTAATTTCCATTGGCCACAGGAAAAG